GGAACCGGGGGCCGCGCTCACCTGGCGGACAATGCCCCGGCTCTTGTAGAAGGCGATGACGGGCTCCGTGGCCTTGTAGTAGGTCTCCAGGCGCTTCTTGATGGTCTCCTCGTTGTCGTCCACCCGCCCGCTGGTCTGGCCTCGCTTCAGCAGCCGCTTGACCATCGTGTCCTTCCCCGCGTCCACGTAGAGCAGCAGTGTCGGGGGGCCGATCTGCGGGAAGGGAAGACCCCTAGGTCACCAGGGACACCCACACACAGATCCACGGTGGCATTGCCRCAAGCAGGGCCACCCATCCACAGCCCCTCACCTTCTTCTCGAACTCCTCTCCTTGCTTCACCTCACGGGGGTAGCCGTCGATCAGATAGCCCTTGGACGTGTCCGCTTTGGCCAGCATGGCGTCCCGCAGCATGTCCAGCACTGTGTCCTGGGAGCCGCGCGAGTTGGGAGGGGACAAGCTGTCAAGGGGGTGACAAGACCCCCATGGTACCAACCACCATCGCCCAATCCCTGCCACTAACCCAGGGTGACAGGGACCAAGCTGTGCCCAGGCCATGTGCTGGGCACCATAACGGGCATCACTGTGGTCCCCACCACTGTGTGCCTGACCCTCCGCTTTGGGGGGCCCCAGGGACCCTCTGCGGTGCAGGCTCACCAGGGACACCAGCTCGCCCTTCTCCATGATCTCCTTGAGCTTCTTGCCCCGCTCAGAGCCGGAGCTGACCTCGGCGCGCAGCAGGTCTCCGGTGGAGAGGTGGGTGTACCCATACTTCTGCACGATCTTCTCACACTGCGTCCCCTTCCCCGAGCCGGGGCCACCTGCAAGTCACACCGGGGCCACGCTCACATCCCAGCCCGCRGTGAGAGATCTGGGATTGGGCTGGAAGAAGCACTGCAGATGTACAGGGTCCCCCAGCCCCGGCATCCAGGACATCCCCATTCCCACCACTCCATCCCCGTCGTCCCCATCCCCATGTCATGGGGAGCCAGGCTGGGAGCAGCAACCACTCCATAGCACATGGAACTGCAGATGCTGCTGGTCCCAATGTCTGGAGGAGCAAAGGGGCTGCCTCCGCCCTCCTCAGTYCCCAAACCCCCACATGGGAGACCAGATCGACACCACATCGGCATCACTCCTGTATCCGTCACCCAACTTACCCACTACGAAGATGATTTTGTGATGCTTGAGTTTTTCTGGAGGAAAGGAGAACAGAAAAACAGGCTCAGTGAAGCAGCGGCCAGGGTGGATGGCGGGCGGAAGCTGCCGACCCTGTCATGGGTGTCGCCCCAGGGTGGTGGGGACAGTCCCAGCTCCCTGCAGGAGGCAGTGCAGTGGGAGAAGCCCCACGTCGCTCCTTGCACCGTCACCTCGGCAGTCCTGAGCGGCCGAGTCGCCCAGGCAGGAGCACGTGGCGCCCATGGTGCCCTGGCCCTGCCGGCACCGAGATGGAATCTCGACGGCGCCACGACACCCGGGTGACGGTCGCCGAGAGCGGCTTTGCCCCCGGGGGCTGGCAGGGCTCCCTGGGCCATCCCGCCCTGCACAGCAGCACGGTTGGCACGGCTTGGTGCACCCTGGCAYGCTGCCTCAAGCACCCCCAACACCCCAATCATCCCCAGCATTGGTCTGTGGGCCTCAGGGTGGACTCATGGCTGGGCATGGGGAGCACTCACAGCCCTGTCCCCACCAGAGCATCCCAGCATTGGAGCATGCCAGTGCTGGAGCACTCCGGTCCCGGAGCATCCCCATGCCAGAGCATCCCAGTGCCGGAGCACTCCAGCATCGGAGCATTCCTGTGCTGGAGCGCTCCGGTAGTGGAGCATCCCATGCTGAAGCATCCCAGCATTGGAGCATCCCAGTGCTGGAGCATCCCCAGCTGGAGAATCCCAGCASCAGAGGACCCCACCACAGGAGCATCCCAGCACCAGAGCGGTGCTTCCCCAGCCAGCAGGATCTGTTCAACCATGTGTGGGGGCAATGCCCGGCTGCAGCGATGCCAAGGGAGGAGAGCTAAAAATAAGGCGAAGGCGCCTGGGCGCTGCTCTCCCCTTCTCCCGGTTACAGCCGTGTGAAATTTCAGCTCCTGCGGCAGCCGGCAAGGCGATCCCAGTGCTGGSCAGGAGCCGAGCAGCTGGCCAGGGGCCGTGGGGCGCGTGGGGGGCCGCAGGGACACGGGGGGGCCACTCACCTGCCGACATGGTGCTGCGGTCCRGGCGGCGGAGAGCTGCAAGGGAAGGGGAGCGGGTGAGCGGCTCTGCTCCACGCGGCTCCCCGGGGGGACGTCGCTGGGACGACGGCACTGCCTCCCCACGGCCATGGGGATGGCGCAAGCTGCTCCCTGTTCCGCACTGCGCTTGGCCCCGACACGTAAASCAAAGCGCCCTGGCTTGCACCCACCAGGCGCCCGGCACCTACCTGCGCCAGTGAGGGCCTCCCGGGGCGGCCGGGCCGGCTCTCCCGGAGCGGAGTGGAGCGGAGCGTCGCTCCCTGCCTGCCCTGCTGACGCCTTCCCGCCGCTCCTGGCCCTGACCACAGCCCCGGCCAGTGGCCACGCTGGCGAGGAGCAGTTGAGGCAGCMCCCTTCGCCCGCGTGGTGCTGCTGCGGTGCCACACGCGGTCCCTTTTTCGGGCCGGGGGATGAGTGCCGGGCTGCTTGCCGCCTCCCGGTCCCCCTGCTCGGCCGCGTCTCGACCGCCCTCCCCGCGCCCAGCCCTGCAGCGGCCGCCCAGCGTCACCCCGGCCTCCCCGAACCAGCCCGACCGGCCGGCGCGGCACCCGCGGGCACGGCCGCCGCGCACAGGTCGCCTTACAGCCTGCAAAGGGCGCGTGGCTAAGTTTGGCCAGGCAGAAATCCGGCCCGGGTCACGTCCCCACCTGCACCGGGGCCCGAGGTGCTGTGGGGGCTGATGGCCCCTGCTCATGGCGCTGCGCTCGGGTGCCGGGCGCGTGGCTTCCAGCCTGGCATGGGGATTCCTAAGTGATGCACCCGTGGGTGCTCCCAGCAAACCGCAGCGCAGCCGGGAGCATCTCCTGCAACCTGCACAGGATCCAGGCGGGATCCCCGTTCCCYGCCGCATCCCGCTGCTCCCGGGACAGGGTGCCCCTCGCAGGGATAGGGCCCGGGGATCAGGGCCCTCCCGCGCGTGGGGACCCTGCGACACAGATGCTCCAGTGACCTCCCCAAGGTCATGGGTGCCCTCGGCCCAGGCCAGGCGGGCGCACACRGGCCCTGCCCGGTCCCTGCATGCCAGGGCCGAGGGGCAGCGGGGCCGCTCGGCACCGCTCGTGAGGGAGCTGCCGCTCGGCGCCATCCACGGGGAGGCCGCGGCRGTGCCAGCAGTGCCGCCGGGGGCTGCCGGGGGGCCAGGCTGGCGGTCGYATCCCCCCAGAACCCCCCGCCCCACATGCACGGCGGGGGGCAGCGCTGCAGCATCCGCAGCCGCGCGGGCTGCCGGGCGGCCGGGGGGGCGGCGCGCAGGGCCCCGGCACCGCCGCGGCCTCCCCCCGCGCCGGGGACGCCCGCGCCACTGACCTCTGCGTGCAGCGCTGCAGCGGGGCCGGGGTCAGCGCGCGGCGGGGCGGGCTCGCCGGGGCCGCCCGTCCTGCATGTCCCGCGCGGCTATTTTTACCGCTATATATATGTAACGGGCGGCGCGGGGCATGCCGGGAGGGGGCTGCGGAGCAGGCAGCGCAGGCGGGCGGCCCGCGCCGCCAGCTGCATGGCAACCACGGCGCCGCTGCCGCCCGCCCGCCCCGCGCGCCTCGGCCACCACCGCGGCCCCCCGCAGCCCCTGCCCCACCGCGGCCCCCGCGAGAGGCATCTGCGCCCTGGGGCAGGGTGAGGCTGCCAGGGCCGGGCCCCAAGGTGCTCTGCAGGCTGCAGGGGGGCTGCCACGCGGCTGGGGGGCAGCCCAGGCCTGCAGGGCCGGGGGGTGCGGGCCCCTGGGGGGTCCCCACGGCCGCCTCCTGCCCACCCGGACTCTGTCTCCCCCGCAACGAAGGCCRGCGGGCCGGGCAGGGACACCAGGACGGGTGATGCTGCAGGGGSGACAGCCCGGCGGGGAAGGACCCGCRGGGGCGCTGGGCTGACGAGGGGGAGCTGAGACCCATGGGTCTGGGGGGTCTGACACCCATGTACCCGGGGACCCTGACGCCTCCCCTGCCAGGGCTCTGCGCAGCCCTGTCCCTCCCGCAGGGACCCGGTGCTGCCCCGGTGCCCCCCGCTCCCTGCCCTGCCGGTCCCAGGGCGCTTCCCCAGGCCCRGCCCGGCCCGGCCTGTGCTGCGGCCTTACCTGCCCTTCCTCCTCCTCCCCTTCCTCCTCGGCAGGGCTGTGCTGCCAGGTGAGCGCAGGGAGAGGCAGGGGAGCGGTGCGAGCGGCGCCRCGGGGCGGTGCGCCCTGCCGGAGCCCTTGTGGCTCGGGCTCGCAGGTGACACGAGCTGGGCCGGCCTCAGCGCCACGCTGCGGGACAGCACCGRGACGCAGCCACCAGGCTGCCAGAGGGCATCACCATGTCCGGGGGGCCCAGCCCACAACGACCTCCCGGGAGACCCTGGCACCCCCGCGTCCCCCCAGCCCSACCAAGAGCCCCAACCCGCGGCCGCGGGCAGGGCGCCAGGCACAGACCGTAGCAAGATTTATTCCCTACAAACCGTTACAAAAGGCGGGCGCCTCGCTGGCACCGAGGGGCCAGGGCGGGCAGGGGCKGCCGGGCGCGCGGCACCCGCGCGACGCTCCCGTCACCTCCCCACCACGCACGGCCTGCGTTGTCCCACATCCTCCTGCCGGGAAATTAGTAATAACCATATAAAAAGTCCCTGCTTGTGTGCTCTGCTGCGCCTGCCCAGCGCGCCCRCTCTGCAGCTATCCGCACGGCCAGTCAAGTTCTTCGTAGGAAAACAAAACAAAGCAATACAAACACAAGGAGCAGCGGGCACAAAAGCCAAAATAGCCCAAACTTCCATCATTTGGTTAAAAAATGTGTTTTGGCAGTGTGCCCCCCGGGAGAGCAGCGCCGCGGCTGCGAGGGGCGGCTGGGCTCKGGTGGCAGTGAGCGTGGCGGGCGCCGCCATTCGACCCGGGCTCGTCCCGTCCCCTCGGGGCTGCGGGGTGCCCAGGTGCCCACAGCAGGGTRCAATACGGCTGGGAAAGGTTTGCARATGGGGCACCCATGTGCAGCACCCACCAGCCACCCCTGCCACCCTCCTAGTGTGGGGCGCTGGCCACCAAAGCCAGCCTGGGACGTGGCTCCTGTCACCTCAAGGTGACTTGGCCCCCAGGGACACCTCAAGGCCACCCCAAGGAAACACAAGTAAAGTCCTAACACCCAGAGCACACGGGAAGTGGCCTCCCTGGGCAGAGCAGCCCTCCGGGTGCCACCGCAGGTCCCTCCATGGGTGCCCCAAGGCAGCGCGGCCACCAGGACCGGCCCGGGTGCCCCATGGCAGCGCGGCGATGGACTGGCCCGGGCAGCGGGCATCGTACAGAGCAGGGAGCTCGACTGGACTCCGTCCTGTCTCAGGCCTCCGCTCTGCCCAAGGCCAGCCCGGCTCCTGGGAGCCACCAGATGGGCTGCACGTGGCCAGTGCCAGCCCTAGGCCCAGGCCGGGTGGGAGAAGCTGATGTTGTAGAGCCCGGCCCAGCTGGCAAAGACCCTCTTCTCAGTGATGAAGCGGTGGTGGTTGCCCTTGCGGCTCCGCTCGTTGTGGATGTACGTGGTGCACTCGTCGGGGCCTTTGGGCTCGTAGTAGTGGTAGGCCATGCGCCGCGGCAGCGGGCGGTTGCTGCGGGGCACAGAGCGCCAGCTGAGGCTGGCAGCGCCCGGGCGCTGCGGGCTGCCGCCGTGCTGCCCTTACCTGCAGTAGTTGGGGGGCACCATGCCGTACACGTGGACGTTGTCGCACAGCTCCACCGCGATCACCATGGTGAACCAGCCGGTGCTGAGCCATGAGCGCGACTTCTCCCTGGGGACAGCAGAGAGGGGACACGGGGAACGAGAAGAGACGGAGCAACATCATCATGGATGACTCCTCCAGCGCCCCTCACCACCCTAGGGTGACATGCCGGTGCACCCCGAGGAGCACCCCAACGAGGTGGCTCCACCACCGGGACACACGAGGTACCTGTCCTTCCCTGTCTCTCTCCGGAACAAGTCGTCAAACTGCTTCATGCGCCCCGGGGAGACGACGTAGGCCGTCATGTTGGGGAAGGACATGCTGACGCGCTGGATGATTTTCAGCAGGCTCTTCTGCATCTTGGCGGGCGGCCCCCAGAAGATGAAGATGGTCTCCGGGGTCTTGTTGACAAACTCCTGCGGCCTCTTGAGCACCCGGTAGACGCTGGAGTGGGCCACCACGCGGAAGCTGGTCTTGTTGCCCACGTCCGCCTCGTAGCCGGTGGTGGGCGCGTCGTTCATGCGGATGGTGCACTCGGCTTGGTCAATCTCCGAGCCCAGGCGGGTGCCCAGCAGGTGGCTGGAGCTGGTGACGATGACGCACTGGTGGCAGTGRGAAGTCAGGGTCTGGGAAAGACAAGACGAGCTGGGACGCGGTGCTGGGGAGAGACGCGTCACCACCCGCCATGCCGGCCCAGTGCTCAGAGCAGCACCGGGGGGGGACACAGGGACACAGGACACTTCGTCCGGCCATCGGGGGAGGGCAGCAAAGCGCGCACCACCAGCACCCGTCCCGCCAGCTTGGCCCGATCCCCCTGCTCCAGTACAAGCTCCGGTCCCGCTCCGCAAACTCCAGCGAGGCCRAGGGGTGACAGGGAGACCAAAGCAGCGACAGGAGCCTCTGAGCGCCAGCCCGCAGCCCCAGCCCGCACCTTGTTGCCGCAGACGGGCAGGTACCCGTTTCTGATGCCCCATTTCTTGAGGTTGGGGGGCCGGCGGGCTCTGCCCCGCAGCGCGCCGTAGTGGAAGACCTCGTTGCCGCTGCTGGAGCTGTAGATGATCAGCAACATGACGAGGGCGAAGAGGACCACGAAGACGGCGGCACGCTGGCCCTGCGGGCACGAGGGAGGGCATCAGGGCACGGGCAAAGGGATCGGATCCCAATCCACCCCCCAGCAGCCCCGCGCCCGCTTTGCAAGAAGTGGGTTTCGCTGCAAATGGGAGTTTCTCYGCCAAAACCCAGCTGCTCCGGGCAGCGGAGGGGGTGACGTCCCAGCTGGCGCTGGGCTCCTCCAGTCCTGCCCCCGCCCTGCTCAGCTGCTCGGGGATATTAAAAAATAACAGCGGGCAGAGCCCGGGGCGGCTCTGAACCTCTGTGCCRCTGGGAGCGCCGCAGCCACTCGCGTTGCCGCAGCGGGAGCTAGGAGTGACATGGAGCAGTGAGAGAGGCTCCAGCACAGGCCCAGCCGGCTCCCGTGTCCCCTCCGAGACCATGGAGCCACTTGGAGGCCGTTTTTGCACATCTACGGCTCTGGGTGCAGGGGACAGCAGTGGGTGCCAGCGCCTGGCCCAGTTCGGCGAGGCCCCATGAAAGGCACCCGATGGATGGGCTGCTTGGACAGGAGGAGCGCCAGCGTGGCAGCACCCGAGGACTCACCGCGTTGCTGCTCATGTCTCTGTGCAAGCCTCAGYGCGGAGCGGTCACGGCGCCGTGCGAGAACCTGCGAGGGACGCGACACGGGGGTCAGGCCGCGGCACCGTCCCAATTGCCACCACTCACTGCAGCAGCACGGCACCCGACCCGCCACGAAGGGGATGCGGGCACAGGATGGCACCAGCACCTTGGCAGACGGGCAGGTTACACGGGAGAGCTGCTGCCGACTCCCCGGTTGCCGTGGGGTGCTCCGGGCCCCCGGCTTCCACACGTCGCCCCGTGATGGCGCGGGCGAGCGTGAGGCCTGGCGAGCGCAGCCGATGCCGCCCATCGCAGGGAAATCCCGGAGCCGGGCTGAGCTCCAGGGACAGCTTATCCCGTGGCCGCCGAAAGCCACTCAAACAAATCCCCGATCCGGGAGTAAACGTGCCGGGAGACACCGCTATCGCCTCAACCCCACCTCCCTAAGTCGATCGGGCTCGGGAAGCAAAATCCCATTAAAATGAAACGTGGGGGGGACGCAGGCGGGCAGGGCCATGGGGCAGGTGCGCGACACGACCGCCCGGCAGCCGCATCCCCGCACCCACTCACACACAGGGCATAGCTGAGACCTGCCCAGCTCAGCTCACACCTGGGCTCGGATATGACCAGAAACCACCAGGAAACGTCTTCCCCCCGCTGTGCCCATGGATACTCGTTCCGGGGGAGGCAGGAACCACTCACCTACCTGCTCCTCTGGGTTTGCAGCCCGTCCCAATTTTGTTTTAAAAAGTGCTCATTAGCGAGGCACTAAAGCAGAGCTCTTCCTCTGCGGAGCGCGGAGAGCGACCACAAATTAAAAATAAAGAAAAAAAAACCCTCTGCACTAATTGCCTGGGGAGGAGCTGGGATGGAAAATATCACAGCARCCTGGACTTAACCCTGCCAGGCGCGGAGGGCCCGGGGACCGCGGAGGCGGCAGCAGGTCTCGCAGCAGGTGCCCTTGGATGGAGAGATGCCAACCCGTCCCCCAGGCGCCCCAGCGCGGCCCCGCGGCCCTACCTGCGCGAGGGCTCTCAGGTGCAGAGCACGGCGGGCAGCGTGGTGGCGGCGGCCGCCTCCGGCACGGGCGCTGTGCGGCGCTCCCGGGCCCCTGCGGCGGCTGGCACGGCCATGGTGGCGCCCCGGGGGTCACATCGTTGCTCCGCCAGGTCCCTGCCAGGCCGGGAGGCTCATGGAGGCCCGGCCTCCAGGCTGCTGCCCGCCCGTGCTCCCAGCGGCAGCTCTGCCAACCGGGATGGGCCCTGTGCAGCTTCCTGGAAATGCCCCCGCTCTGCTGCGCTGCAAGCCCTGCTGTGCCGACTTGCAGGTGCAAATGCCACCCCCGCGTGCAGACCCTGCATCTGTGCGASTGCAAATGCTGCCCGGGCTCCCAGGACGAGAGCCCCTCTGCACTCCTGGGTGCCACCATTCCCCAGCACCCCAGCGTGCAGCTCTAGAGGAGCTGGGGCCTGGCGCAGCTTCCGCTTCGTGCAATCCCCAAGCACCTCCACGCATGCAATTGCTTTCCTTAGCCCGCACTGCAACGCCTCCCGCATCCTTGCAAGCGGAAACACTCCCCCGGATCCCTGGGATACAAGCCTGCCCACACAGYGATCCTCTGCCACGGCCAGCACAGGAACCCCAGGCCCTGCAGGGGCTGCCATGCTGCCCCACACCCTCTGGCTGCAACCTCCCCGACACCTCGGCTGCAATCCTCCCCTGCTGCATGCAACCCCCCCGTACCCCGGCTGCAATCCTCTTATCCGCTGCATGCACCCCCGCTGCACGCACCCCCTTCTACCACGGCTGCAATCCCGCTCCCCACGACATGCACCCTCCCTGCTGCACGCACCCCCGCTGCACGCACGCCCCCGTTCCGCGGCTGCAATCCTCCCCCCGCTGCATGCACCCCCGCCGSCCGCCGCGCAGCCCCGGCCGCGCGCTCACCGCTCCGCTCCGCGCCGCTCCGCACTGCGCTGCCGGCCCG